CCATACCATTGAAGAGCTTTATTTTCTAGTCTTCTGGTTACGGTTGTTTGAACCCCAGCTCTTTCCCATACCACTTCGTTTCTTATTTTATCCAGTCTTGTTATCTGCAAAAATCTTCTCATAAAGTCAAGCTGTACTGACCGTATTCTTTTTCTACGGCGTTTTGTTAATAGCCACATTTCTGCTCCATATAATATAATACTTTCCACAATACTGTGGAACATGTGTTGTTTTGTGTCTTACCTTAAAACACTATTCCATATAAGGCCATGCAGAGCTTTGATTGCATTCCTCCCCATTGCAAGTCTAGTAGTTATATCCTCATCAATTTTCCCATTGTCAGTAATTACATTCCCAAGACATTTATATTTCGAAACATTAGCTATCTTGTCATCAGCGACATTAATATTAGAGGCATCTCCTCCTATGCATAAATATTCTGTTTTTTTAAGGTTGATTTTAAGTCCCCATTTTTTGTATTCTTTTAATTTGTGAAGCATATACTCCATATCTTCCCGATCAGATGCCATAATTACCTGATCATCTGCAAAAAGCAAAGAATGGAAGCACTTGTCATTTATGGGAACTCCCATTTGAGAACATTTCTTGATAGTTTTTATCTATAGTTCATTATCTACTATTATACCTAGTATCTTTACACTGTTCAGAGATCTACATTACATGAGTCAGTGTTTTTAGGGAGGTCCTTTAAACTATACGCTATATGCTGAGTTTTGTCCTCATTCAGTAGAAATCCATTTGTCTTGAATTGTTCCACTGCTGAAAGTGTTTCTGTTGGACAGCTGAAAGTGTTTCTGTTGGACAGATGAAAGTGTTTCTGTTGGACAGCTGAAAGTGTTTCTGTTGGTGCCTCTTTAAGCAATTGTAATTCAGTGCTGGCATTACGAAAAGTGGTGTCATCAACATGGAGTATAGTGCAAACAGGTACATAGTCTGGTAGGTCATTGACCATTATCATGAATAATAGTGGCCCAAGAATTGATCCCTCAGGAACACCAGAATTTAATTCCTTAATATCAGATCTATACTTTCCTATGCAAACAATCCATCTTGAAGAATGATACTTGAATTTTGGTGGATCCGCCTGATGATGCCAAAGTAATTGGATGTTGCATGGTGTTGCGCGATACATTAAATCCTGATGGCATCTTTTGCTCTGATGGGGTCAATCAGACTGATGGTGTGCCTTGCAGCAAAATTTGGGAAGAAAATTAGACAATTCGATGTTAGAACTGCATATTTAAATGTGAACTCGAGGAAAATACATACATGAGAATGCCCAAAGACCTGGAGAAAGTACTTCAGAGCATCTCACAATGACAACATCTTGAAGAAGAAGAAGGCGAAATACATGCTCAGTGAACTTCAGATGGGCTAAAAAGTCTGTTTACTTAAGAAGTCATTGTATGGCTTCCAGCAGGCAGGAAGTACATGAAGCTGAGCGAGACCTCAAAGGACTTTGGCGCTAAGCCGACAGCATCAGATCCTTGTTTGCTCCAGATGGGTTCAGGGGAAGATGCGACATTGATAACTGTCTGTGTTGATAGCTGTACATCTTGGTCACCTCCAGGTATCAGAAGACAATCTTTGAACTTGGAATGGCCTTGGGCAATCATTTTGAAATCAAAGACTTGAGACTAGTGAAATATTTCCTCAGAATCGAGCTTATTCAAGATGAGGGTCTATTTGCTATTTACCAGTGGGGATATGTGGAAGAACTACAATGTTTCGGTATGAATAACTGCAATCCCCTAGTCACTCCTTTCGATCCTGGTAGCAAGCTTCAATTCTGTGATTTCTGTACAGTGAAATCTCAGTATAACGTCAGTATAATTCAGTATTACATACTTTCAGTTTTATGCACGTTTTGAAATTCCTGTTTAAATGCCCTACGTTACAATGTAAAGATATTTCACTTTTACAAACTCTCTACTCAGATCTATTTCAGTATTATGTGGTAAACATGTGTGAATTAAAATATTTTTATTCTTATTGGATCTCATGTTGTCCCTGGAGTTTTTGGAATAAGTATTTCATAGCATTTTCTTAAGTTTATGTCCGTTAATCTCCACACATCAAATGTATGCATTTCATAACATAACAATACTACACTTCAATCGAACTCGCAAATAACAGGATCTAGTTTGCCATAATCACAGCAGGTAGAAGCAGTATTTATAGTTATCATTTCTGGATCATGTGATGGGAATCTTGGCTTTTTCAATTTTGAATATTATGATTTTCCAGATAATCATTCTTTCTTCAATGGTAGCGAATGCTTTGGATTCAAATATATTTGTGTTATGATAGTAACAGTATTACAAGTGCATTTTGTGGAGGTTAGTAGTGGTATTCATAATCATACTCATTTAAATTGCAATGGAAAGTACGTAAATAAGATAGAACAGAACAATGCAACCATAAAAGGAGTTTAAAAAATAGTGAAATGAAGAATGATGATGTTTCACGTGCCTATAATGTGAAGTCACCTTCAGTTTCCACAACTTTAAAAAGCAAAGAAACCTTAAAAAAATTTACGAACAAAAATGTACATTAATCTTCCATTCCTCAAAAGAACTTAATAAATTCTCTCATATATTTTCAGCATTTATGATACCTGAAAAAAACAAAACAATATTTTCATCAAATTGAAATTATCCTTTTGCTGTTTTCACACCTACTTTTATGATCTTTGCATTTTAACTCCAATCAGTATATTTGACTTAATGTTCCTGCTGAATTATTTATTTTCCCCACAAGTTTGGGAGAGGAAGGGGTGGGATGAGAAGTGGGGATCTGAAGTGTTCTCTGTGCTCTCATAATTTTTATCACTATTTTCATATTCCTTTATTTTTTGTAGGTTTAAATTTATTTCATTTAAATATTCACATTAAACAAACATCTCCAGCACAACTGCAAATATACGTTTTTGTCAACTTTAAAAAATGTACACCACCATCCATTTAATACTATGACATTTCAAAAATTTTTGGATGCATTATCTTTTGAAATTCAACTATTTATTTACCTTAAGCAATTTATCAATGTACTATGCACCAAAATTCGACAGACTACCGATGGGACAGACACTCAATCTGTCACTCAGCCAGACATTCAGTGAGCCAGTCACTCTGATGGACATCGCCAGAGCAACAGACAAGACTGCCCGACTGCCCATTAGACCGACCAACAAGGTGTGACTGCCTGACCAATGATGTGACTTGCCTGACCATCAGAGTCATCTGACCGAGGATCAACCAACTGACTGAGTGTCCATCTGACCGACCAACTGATTGAGGGACTGACAGACAAACTGACTGACCAACTGACCAACCATGTCACCGACCTCCTGACTCACTGAGCGACAGACGCATTGACTGAGTGACTGACCAAAACACAGATGCAGACAGAACCACAGGCAAACACTGAATGAATTACAGACACACATACAGACATTGAATGAATGACAGTCAGCAAACAGACATACGACAGACACTGCATGAATGGCTGACAGCAGGTAAAACTTGTCTGCCATTCAGTGTCTATCGTAAACTACTTTTTTGTCATCAAGTACTCAGAAACATAGACTAATCTACAAAATATGTTAGTACAATTAATTTACTACACATAGGAAAATGTGCAGTAAATTATGAAGAGGATGGAATGTTGTTGTCAAATAGGGAGCTTCAATTTTTGATATTAAACCTTTTGGCGATTAACATCCCAGCTAATAAAATGTGAACTGTATTTCTATTTTAAATGGAGAAATAAAATATAATAATCACATTGCAAATTATGTACTTCTAATACTTTGGCTATCATGTGCCAAAGTATCTTCATCAGACTACTTGAAATAGCACATGCCTATTTTCTAGCATCTTTTAAAAAACACTTTTTTATGTTGAATTGACCTTTTATGTTATATATATTTCAAATAATGTGCTTAACGACAATGAATCTATGCATCTGTATGGGATTCAAAAGTATTAATTGCCATGATAATAATACAAGTTTTGTTAGTGTTAAAAACTTTCGTCCCCACAATTATTAATAGACATTCTTCAAAATGCACTAACCCTACAGAAAACAAAGAATATATTATTTAGACTTCTCAATTAACCCAATGATTGAGTCTTCTTTCCTACAATACTCCAATCATCAAATCCTCCGCACTTTTGATAATCAGTTCTTTGGTTGCATTCTTTAGTTGTTCATAACACCTCAGCAATTTTGTAGTTATGATTGTTTACTAGAAGATTGTGGACCTTCACCAATCCCAAGAACATAAAATGAAAGTTGTTCATGAAGGGGAATTTAAATTAAAACTAGTTTACATTTAAGCTTCACACCACACATATTTCGTATCATTCGTAAAATTAATTTCCTGAAATCTTTAGAAAACTAATAGAAATTTTAAGGAATGTAAACCAGATATCATTCATTTTGGGAGAGCATATGTCCTATAATTCAATAACCGATCTACATTTTCCAGGGTAACAAATTATTCATATTAAGGCACAACGCAAATCCTTAATCTTCATTACAACACAGATCAATCTCTTCAAACGCAGCAACATTTTCTTATAGAGTTACATAAATATTTTCAATTTACCATGCATGCTGTGCTCCATATGTCAGCTGGAGTACCATACCCTGCACCCAACAACACTTCCAAACACCTGTACTGCCGTGTCTGGATATCTTCAGTAAAATGATGATACTGAAACAAAAACATTAAGAACATGAACAAACCATATTAGATTCAAAATAGCCATCAATTGACACATTAGTGATATTAAAGATGCAGAGAACGGGAAGAGAATTCCCAAAGAAGTCGAGAGGAGTCATTGAGTATGTAAAAAGTTGAAAGGAACTACCCAGCTCCCCAAACAATAGGTTCACAAACCTTTTAAATTTGACTAACAAAATTATTCCCTAATGTAATTCACTGTAATCAGACTTTTTTCTTCAAGGAAGCATCACTTTATTCCTGCTGCAATTAACATACCAGCATTGATATTACTCTTGTGAAATTTTTGAAAATTTAGTCTTCACAAAAAATTGCATATATGTCGTATGATTCAGTATCCTTTCTCTATGCGTAAGAGAGATTTAAAGAGAAAAGGAGTTATTTTTGAGAAAATCATAATTATGTATTTTTGGAAAATTAACATCATGTTATTTAAAATTATGCAAAATTGATTAGCATTTTAAAAAAATAATGAAATAATTTGAAGTGCTTGTATCGTTAAATATGAGTGCATTAAGAAACACAACTCTAGCTCCAATAATGACAGTATAGGAGAAGCATGATAAAAATGGAATATATTCAATTTTCAAAACTTCAAGTGTTCAAAAAAACTATATTTTACAATATTTAATAGAGCACTGTAATCCATTTGAGGAAGAAATTTAAAAAAAATCTGGGCCAATTTTTGAAAATATTTAGAACTAGTGGATGGCACCTACTTTCTCACCCGTACCTTTAAGCAAAAAGTACTGAAATTCTCAAAAAAATAAACATGATCTTATTTCAAAATCTATCTTTAAGGAATAGATTTCATTAAAGGAAAAACATCCTTATCTTCAAAGTTTTTGCAGTCTCACTAAAAATCACAACTAAAATATTGAACTTCAGCAATTTACGAAAAAGCACAGTTTTTAACAAACATTTGACCTGCACTATTCTCTGAAATGCCCTTCCCACTATCCAATCAAAAAAAAAAAAAAA